AGGGAGTGTTAAATCTATTTACTAAAGATCTTGCAGGGAGGGAACGATTGCTTCACACACTGTGCGGTCGTTTCCACTCCGAACCCGGTTCTTTGTATTGTTGATTCCTTGTTGGGTGCCTTTCCTTTGGCCCATGCGCTGGCACTATGGCTTTCGCGCTTGTTGTTGGCTCTGACAGTTCCGGTTGGATGCTGTCGGCTCTCCTAGCTGCGTCGTCGTCGACTGCAGTCTCCTATCGGCACGACGGTCTCGACGTCCGATCTTGTTCTTCACTCGTTGCTGCGGCGTCGCTCTCGTTGCGTCGTCGCGTTGCCTTCAGTTGCACGGAAGGGCTTCGCTGTTGCTGTCGATGCTTCGACAGGCTTGGTCTCTATCGTCTCGCAATCCGTCCTCGGATCCTTGCAACGGTAGCGTCGTCCTCGACGGTCTTCTACTCGTCGCGTCGTCGCGATCGGCCGATACTCGCTCTTCGCGTCGATCGAACGTGGCTTCTTCCTGCTACCGATTGACTGCTTCGATAGGCTCCTCTTCACTGCTTCGCTTCTTCGATTCGATAGTAGACCGCCTTTTTCAGTAGTATGTTAGTTGCTCTAAGCTCTCTTCTAGTTTACTGTTGCTATTGAGATACTACTGAAAAAGTGGGTGGGCTCTGTATTTCTACTGTGAAATTCTAGTACAGAGGTACAGGGGTTGAATCCCTAATCGCGAATCCCCAACAGCTACAAATGCAGTATTACAATCATTTGGTTGCATGGGGAGGCATTACAGTGGTGTTTGTCTACCCATCCAGGCTACTTGTGAATAGTAAGTTTAGAATTTTATTATGTAGGATTTACATGCATGACATTGTATGAACCGCCACAAAAGCCCAACAATGCTTCGGAATTCCATCACAAGAATAGGGAAGCTTCATGGGGAATTCAGGGCAGTTCACAGCAATGGATTGCTTCAGCAGAGCCTCCGACACCTCGCTATCGTACTCTACTAGACTAGCTAGTACAGCTTTGGTGATCTCCTCGGCAGCAATGAGAGGGGCCGGACTGTGCTAGTGTGGGGTTGATAAAACTTTGGGTTGCACGATTCGATTGAATCGTTTGAATCGAATCATTCGATTCGATTCATTCGATCACTGGTTCCGAGTCGATCCTTATTTGACCGTTGTTTCCAAAAAAAACGATGAGGTTGTTTGTGGGTTGACCCTTCCGACCCTTCCCCCTTCTGTCAACACAGACCGACGAGTTATTTTAGTGTAACCATTCAAGTTCAGATCAACCATTTGGCAAGATCGGAGACCTTTACTTTGTGACTTCTTCCTCAAGCTCTTCAACAGGTCCAGTAGTCTGGGATTCGGCTCCATCAAAAGAAGGGTCAAGATAATGTCACAGTATCCAGTGTACTCTCATCACTTACCGGTACATCCGGACGTTGCCAATAGAACAGGGGCTCCGACTTCTTCCATAATGCACTTGGATCCCAATCATCATCCTGTTAATCCACAAGGAGTTCCATATCAGCAGCACCCACAAACCATGATGGCCGCCCCAACAGCCGCAGCGGGAGCCACTCACCAGTACGTCTACCCTGCCTATCATCAGGCAGCACAGCAGATTCCACAACATGCTGTTCCCATGATGGTCCATGGGTATCAGCAGCATGCCCCGTCTCCACAAATGATGCAGCAGTCTCAGCAGCAGTTGCAACAATCCCAGTCTCATCCAGCACATCAATCCACAGCACAACCACAATCATCGTCCTCGGAACAGCACAGGATATCTCAGGAATGGGAACAAATCCGTATTGCCAGGGAAAAGTTGGAGTTACTGCAAGAAAAGCTGCAAGTCGACCAAGAAATCCTCAAGCAAGAGAAAAAGCAAAAGAGACGGCAGCGTCAGATGGCTACCCAAGAGCTTCATGAAGAATGGCAGCGAGAGATTAAGCTACTATCGGCACGTACCCAACAAGTTAAAGAGGAATACGAAACAAAATTAGCAAAACAAGCCACCGAATATGACGCCAAACTCAAAGAAGCACAACAAGATGCTCAAGGAGTAGAACGGGCAAAGCAAGCATATGCTATTCAAGACTTGACAGTACAACATCAAGAGGCCATTACCAAACTGGAAACTCAATTGGCTGAGGAAAAGAAGCAAGCACTTGAAAACGAAGCAAAAGCCAAGGAACATTTGGAGCAGCAGCTCAAGGCACAAGAAGAGAAACTGCAAGCTCACGAACAACAGCAACAACAAAACTATCAATCGCGACAACAGCAATGGCTCGACAAATTGCATGAGCAAGAACAGAAGCAACAAGAACGATTGGAAGAGTTGAAACAAAACCTCAAGAAGGACTATGATGTCAAGTGTGTTGCCATACAAGAAGAATTTGAAGAAATGTCAGTCGCGGAGCAAAAGAGTGTCGAATCAGAGTACCACCAGAAACGCGCGGCAGAGCTCTCGAGCTGTCAGGCTGAACACAAGCTGCAATTGGCCAAAATGGAAGAACTATTGAAAGAGCGAGATGGTGCCATTGAGAAATTTGAAGCAAAGAACCAAGAGCAAGTGCACAAAGCCCAATCCACGGCAGCCTCAGAAAGCGGTCAAGTCGATCAGCTCAAGACTCAATTGGCAGAAAAGGAAAAGGAGATTGGTCAGCTCAAGAAACAACAAGAGGAGTTGCTGAAATCAAGCTCCACTGTGCAACAGCAAGAGACCCAGATCGCAGAACTACAAAAACAGCTGCAGTCGTCGCAGGTTGCTCAGGAGAAGGAAAAGATGGAAACTACAGCGACGATGCAATCTCTAGAAGACCAGCTGTCGCAGAAGTCAAAATCCATTGCATCACTTGACAGACGGCTCCAAGAAGCCATCAGCCAACAAGATACACAAGGCACAGACGACCAAAAAAGTCATTTGGAACGAGTCAATTCTCTGGAAACTTCCCTGGCGGAGCGTGAAGAAGCGATCGTGAAACTTCAGACGCAAGTATCGGCGTTGGAGCAAGCAAACAAAGTAGCCACAGACGAGGAAGTCGCTCGGCTTCAACGGCATTTGGTAGAACGTGACAATCTGGTTCAGAGCCTGGAAGCTCAAGTTGGTGGCTTGGAAAGCAAATACGACGAAGAACGCGGGGCTCTCCAAGAGGAACTCTCTGCGCTGGCAGGCAAGGCCACAGAAAAAGATGATTGCATTGATCGCCTGAAAGAAGATCTGTTGAAAAAGGAAAAGGAATTGGCCCAGTCATTGCAAGCAAAAGATTCCTCATACCAGGAACGAATGAAGGAGAAGGACGCAGCTCTCAAAGCCCTAGAGGCACAAGTGCCCGACTTGCAACGGCAACTCGAGGAAGCTACAGCCAAGGCATCAGAACATGGCAATGCTAAAGAACAGCTGGCGTCCCAAAAGTCGGTCGTTCAGCAGCTGGAAGAGCAAGTCGCGGTCCTTACCAAGGAGCGTGATCTTCATTTGATAGCTGACATGGATGCAACCTTTTTGACTACACAACTTGCCGAAAAGGAAGAAACAATCTCCCGCCTAGAAGCCCAGATCCTTGAACTGGAGCAGACAATGAATACGGCGGCAGCTGACCCGGCCAAGGTAGCAGAACAGGAAGAGACAATCAGTCGGTTGGAAGGCCAGCTTATGGAAATTGAACGAGAGCTGGATCAACGCACAGAGTCCACGTGCCAAAAGTGCCCACCGCTACGAGAAGAGCTCGAAGCACTCCAAGCCAAGATTCACAATTTGGAGCATGAACGAAAGCAAGCATCTGCCAGTGCCGCTGATCAGTTGAAATTGCGTAAGGAAATGGCTCAGCTGTTGAGGAAGGAGGAACAGTTCAAGTCCAAGATTGAGTCACAGCAGAAGGAATTGGAAGAAATGAAGACGACAAAGGAATCTCTAGCTTCTCAAGTTGGACAAGAAACCGCTGCCAACCGTCAAGGTCGCAAGCGTGCAGCGATCAAGAATCGTAGACAAGTCATGGAGGCGAATTGGAGAGGTTCTTCTACCGTTGACGCCGGAATCTACACTGGCTTCATCAACGACTTGGGCAACCCAGATGCAGCTGGTACGTTGAAGTTTGAAGATGGGTCGGTGTACGACGGAGAATGGCGCGATGGCAATTTGCATGGTGAAGGTGTCTTCGCGTGGGTTGACGGCGATACCTACCATGGCGAATGGCTCGAGGGACGGCAACATGGTTATGGAGTTTTTGTATGGGCAGATGGTCGCTTGTACCAGGGTTACTACAAGCACGGACAGCGCGATGGAGAAGGGTAAGAAACGAGGCGCTATTTTTGGCGTATCGTTGTTTTGCAATGAGGCCTCATTTCCTTTTACTTCTTGTCTTTTCCAGACTGATGACATGGCCTTATGGTGCAAGATACCGCGGTACCTACAAGCGCGATAAACGAAACGGTACGTCACGAGCGAAGGTAGTTGCTGGCATCTGCTAGAAGAGGTATCGTTGACGCTCACATCGTTCTTTCGGTGGCATCCTCTGCGTTTTCCGCAGGCAATGGTGTCTACACGTATCCCGACGGTCGTACATACAGCGGCGAGTACAAGGATGAACGTCCTCATGGCATCGGAACAGAGACGGCTCCTGACGGATCCATCATTTTCACTGGGGAGTGGTCGATGGGAGAATTTCTGAAAGATAATACTGAAAATATCTAGCTTTGACACAATCTGTGCAGGAGCTTTCGAGACAATCCCTCGATAAGCCCGGGCCAATACCGATTGGAATATCGGAGTGTAATATTGAGAACCAAAGCCAGCATCATACGAGTCAAAGTGAACAGTCAACTGAAGACACTAGCTAGCGTGAGTTAATTTTTGCTAGCCAGGCGTTCCTACCGGTATAGCGACTTCTTTCGAGTTTCCTTCCCTAATAGGTCTTCCGGTACAGGTAACAAAGTGACTTCGTGGGGATACCATGGCTCGGTTGGAAAACCAAGACCCACCCTCCCGTTCAGAGGCCCCCAAACTACTAGTAGCCAGGGCTACAGCTTGTTGAGCCCCTTTGTGCGGTTGTTGCATTTTGTTTCGTTTCGATAAACTGTCTCTTGGACGGCTTATTATTAGTTTCTCTAGTAGCAAGTTTCGCAGCTTTTGGCCCTTTTCGCCTCTCTCCAAATCATATTATAATATTGTCTTCCATTCCATTCCATCTAAACAGTCTTGGCACAAGTTTTGGTCCGCATTTTGCGTCCGGCACGAGGATTGTTGGGTGCTCCTCTTCCATTCCAGATTCTTGCCGCAGCGGCACCTACCCACTCCCGTGCTCGAACGGTGACGGTGGCACTGGCCAATCGATTCCAAGCCGAAACACGATATCCCGGTTCGCCGGTTGCCGTATTCATGACTACTTCGGGCAAGACGTCGCCACCGACCATACCAGCGGTTGACGCAGCGTCGGGGATATCTTGGTAAGCTCGTCGTTTGTCGAGCCGCTCGTTATGTACGTAGTAGAGACATGCCAGCAGGGTGGCCAGATAGGCAAAAGACGCCTGATAGGCATTGGATGACGATGGCAATCGCTCTGCCGTGACAAAATAAATGGTTGCCGTCTTGCCTCCATCGTATTCTTTAATGGCCGAGGGAAGTGTTCCCGAAATGAATAACGGCTGTGTATCCAACAAGATGCCAATAAAGACCAAAAAGAGGAATCCCACAAATGAAAAACCGGCACATGTGTTGGCACAACAAATGGGATTTAAGACGGGCGTGGTGTCTCGTCCCTTTCCGTGCAAGAATGCCCGATACTGGTTGTCGGGTACGTGGAGGGCCGTTCGGAAATGTACCGCCGCCAATGGATTGGGATCCATGTGAAAGGAGCGTTCGAAATGTTGAAAGGACAACTTGTGGGCGTTGGGTAGCGATGCGCTGTTTCTCCGTAACGCGGGGTTATTTTCATCATAGGACGATGATCTCGAATGATGCTGGTGGTTATTATTGTGATGCTGCTGATGATTGCTGCCATAATATTGGTTGTAATAGATTTCCGAAGCCGCCGTGCTGCTGTACCCTGTTGCCCCGTGGTGTGTGTAGGTAGCAGCACTACTCGTACTCGTAGTACTGATGGTAGGTATACCTCCCGTGCTGTGCGGTGCCGTGATGGATTCGACACTGGCAGACGTCGTTATGTCTAGTCCGTAGTTTTTGTTGTACTCGGCCATGTAGTGTTGTGGCGAATGTCGCTCTACGGTGGTCGCTGTCTGGTGGAAATGATTGGTTTGATTCGTGAGCGGATGACCTCGTCTTCGACGCACGGCCTCAGCAGCAGCAACAGTTCCATCGGTGACAATGCCATCGGCTCCAGTGTCCAACTGGCGTACTGACAGGGATCGAGAATCTGCTGGATGATGATAGCTAGATCGTTGCCGCGGTTGATGTTGCCATTGTCCATGGTCGCTTTCGGCTGATCGCGGGGGAGTCGCAGCCACTGCCGCTCGTTGTCTCATCTTGTATTGATATGATATGTGAACTCTCAATTGTCAGGATGTACAGTAGATTGGATTCTCTTGTCTCCCTGATCGTAAAGCAACCAAATTCCCGAGTTGGGTCGTCTCCTGTAGTCTAGTGTGTACCGTAGCAGATTGGATTGGATCAGCTTGAAAACAGCATTGCCGTCAAGAGAGGGCGGGGCGAGATTGATATGCTTGTTGGCTTGTTGGATGACAGCAGGAGCGATACCAAATGTGTCCAACAGAGGATGCAGATTGTTCTGATAGCAACAACCAACGCTTCCAATCAAACTAAGTCAGCAACAAAGACTCAATACTGAAGCCAGTGGGACCAAAGACAGGATTGATGGGATTCCAGATAGCTAGCCAGCTGGCAAACCCCTCAACACAACAACACAAGCTTTACTCTTTGCCCTTGGTCCTTGCTTTGCCACAGACCACAGACGAAGTCGTCGTCATCCAAATCAAGGCGCAGCAGCGTTGTTGTGTCGTGTAGGATCTTTTGTCTGGCCATAAACCCCTTCCTTATCAGAGTTAGGCAGGCTTTTGGTCTTTAGAAAAGTGCGCGACCGCGGCGCCCACAAGGCAGAACCGGGGCGAACCGGTTCATCTTTGAATCCAATGACAAGGTCTCTCCGATGAAGGTGGTATGGTAAGTGCGAAACACCCCTGTTGTACAGCTGCCAGCGAAGACCATCGTCTCCGACTTCACTAGCCAGGAAACCTCATCGATCAAGATCATTGTCGAGAATCTATTTTTGTATTTCAATTTCCGGACTGCCACGAACGGAGAACCTTTTGCGGGTCACCCGCGAAACAAGGAGACAGGTGGATCAAACTAATATAAAGCTGCGACTAGATACCGGTAGCTAGGTAAACTGCAGCCACTTTGATTTCAAATCGAATCGAATGATCCTTCAGAGGGAACAAGTCGGATATCTACTATGCAATGTCAAAGCTTTCAACACAGACACGTGTTGGAAGGGGCCGTGCTACCGCCATTTCGCGCTTTCGGACCAGCGAATCCTGGACAATGATGGACGTCGTTCTCTGGTTTTGCCCAAGCTTGCACAGACTTACTCTATTTGGGCACGTCACGTCCTATTCGACATAACAGCAAAGATCTCTTCGACGAACATCCGAGTTCGGCCTTGCCTTCGAGCGGTACACATTCAGATGAAAGCCAATGATGATTTCGGAATGCTGCCTTATGGTATGTTGTCGGTGAGCTTTCAAAACCTGATTGCCATTGCCTTCTACCATGCATGGGTGCGTATCGTGGCCAGTTCCGATGGCTATCGTTTCATAGCATACCGGTAGCAACCTGCAGAGGAATTCAACTGCCGATTTCTTCCGGGGTCAGGCTGGCCTCGACGCAGCAAATCAGCATCTTTTCTGAATGAAGCAAGTGCTTTGATGGATTGTCCTTCCATCTGGCTTGCTACCGGCACTTGATCGCCGCCGAAGGGAAGGACGACTCAATAGCTTGCAACGGAAGCTTGCCAGTGAGGACTCGTTTCGTTCGTTCGTTCGTTCTCTAGCTTCGTTGTCGCCGGCATTTGATTGTCGGGCGTTGACTATTTGAGAATCATGGGTGAATCCAAAAGGAACAACTGATATACTCATGCAGTTCACACCGTTCACTGCACGCAATGAAGCCAGTTTGCCACCGATCCAGCCTAGTAGGAACGTACGATTGATTGATATCATTCCATAACATCGTTTCATCTCGTCTTTCATCAGCACAAGGTCTGCGTGCGGTGTTGTCGTGCTGGTCTCTTTCCTTCCCGGGATACAGTGTATTGTTGCCTGCCGAGTTACATCATCTCCTCGCCATCCGAGTCGTTATCATCTTCGTCACTTTCCGCAGACGACGACATCATGGAAGAAGCTTCGTCCTCTTGCTGTTGTTCCGCCGTCGGCTCGGGCAGTACAAAGCTGGACTGATGATAATAGCGTACTCTCAAATAGGACTCGACTTGTACATCCAATCGGAGTTTAGCATCGGCTTCCGACGGCACTTTGAACATTTCGTCAATGCGTCCATCGTATCCGCTAAAGTGGCAGCCCACTTGAATGATACTGGCAAACTCTCCCATGATGTTTTTGAAGGAGGCGTATAGCAAGTTGCTTTCGAGCGGTGTATGCAACCACGAGACTTCCTTGTACATGTGCGGGTAGAATTCACCCAGGTGGGACCATGTGCGATAGAAAAAGTCCACATTGATGTTCTTGTATCCCATGCCCTATTGTAAAAGAAAGAAGAGAAGAGAAATTCAGAGATTGTGTCCATCAAATACACTGGTGAATGTCCAACTAACTAATCAATCAGACGTACCTCACACTCGCAAATGTTGACCATGCCCTGCCGACACGCCGATAGATTGCTGTGTTGTAGCTGCAAGAGATAGTAAAAGCCGCCCAGCCAGGCTCTCCAATCGGCTGGGAAATCGACTGCCTTTGGATTGAGTTTGGCATAATCCAACACGGACACGAAATGTCCAAATTCGGGAGCAAACTCGACGGATACCAGGAACCACGGCATCAGCTTGCTAAATGCTTCCAGCAGTGCCATGCCTTCCTCCACAGTATCGATAATGTTATATTCTTCCTGAAAGTACATCATCTTTTCGATGCGGTCGAGGGCATTTTCCAGATTTCCTTTCGTACTCAAGGCATACTGACTGTATTCAAAATCACTCAGTTCGCGGCGGAACCGACAATCATCTGCTTCTTGATTATTCTTGGAGCTGTCCTTTCCCCTGTCGATTTCCTCTCTCACGGCTCGTTTGATTTCCAGAGCCCATCGAATCTCCGTGTCGGACATCGCCATGGTCTCCAACAAACAAGCACCGCTGACAGGTTCCATATTGTACTGTGCGTGATGCCGGCCTGACCTGAAGGAGAATGAATGAAGATACTAGCTATAGCTAGAGTACGGCAGATGGCTTTGATAAGAGATCAAGCTACACTACTACTAGCTAGCTACCGTAGGCTGATCGATAGATTCGAAGATGGAAATGATATTATTTAGCTATCGTCTGCGGCAAGTAATCGTAGATAGTGTTGTTGCTTCGTTCTTCGTTTGCTTCCCCTGCTTTTTGGGGGCGTCTGCCTACCGTACGGTACATGTACGCTCGGCTTAAATCGTCCCAAGCTCGGCTTGGCACGTACAGCCTTACGCAGTTTTCGGTCAGTACGACTGTACGGCCGGCAGAGCTACCGGTCATCTTTGGAAACACCACGGTGCTTTGGACATTTGGAATGTCACTTTTCTTGTTACGGAAGGCTCTTTTTGCAATGTCACTTGTCAATTACACGTACTACCGGTACCATAGTAGGTAGCAGGATTTAATGGATAGAACAGAATGATCGATTGAATCGAATCATTCAATCAATCGGTTCGATCCGATTCGATTCAATCTTTCGAACTCATACCGGTACCGCACGGTACGTGTAGTCTAATAGGGAACGAATTCAATGGATGCAACTGACGTCAGACGGGGAGAACCATTCAACGAGCAAAACAATTGCCATCAACACCATGAACGATCTAAAGATGAGACTATTCTAAAAACATCTATCTATCTAGAGCTAGCTAGCTAGTAGACGAAGAATGATTGCCTCGAGAGGAAAGTGCCATTGGACCATTTTGGTTGCCTCCACCATCATAACCTGGATTTCTACGTCTCCGGTGACAACTTGGGGCTTTTCGTTTACAGCTAGTAGAGGGCAAATAATCTCGAGGGCGAGGTGCCATAGCGAGGGAAAGCCATACCAATCTCAACTGTTCGCCGTCTCGGCACCTACTCTGGAGTCCTCCACTGCTCCTGCATCCCCAGCTGCAATTGCTGTCGACAAACTGAGCTGTACCCACAATGGAGGAGAAACCTGGCAAGCCAAAGATGTGTCATTTGTGCTACCACAAGGAGCCAAGGCAGCTCTTATTGGGATCAATGGCTCTGGAAAGTCGACACTTTTGAGGATTCTGGCAGAGTCTACCTGTGGGGATGATTCCTTTGTCGATACAGCCTCGGAAGGAATGAAATATACGGGGACAATCAGCAGTCCGAGAAGTTTGAAAGTGGCTTTTGTGGAGCAGGTACGTTGTTGCAACAATAAAAATTGAAGAATACAACTATACAACTGGTATCATGCAAAACATCTCACTTACTTGGCATCATTCACTTACTTTCGCAGGAACCACCAATGCCATCGGACGTGACTGTGGCGGATGCCATTCTTGGTATTAGAAGCTTTGCCGATGAAAACGCTCTCAAAAAAGTATCCAATTCAGTCTATCAAATTGTTCGGAGATATAGACTCGCCACGGAAGCAGCCGCAGACGATCCAGACGAATTTACGGCCGCCACGGCTGCCATGGAACAACGAAATGGTTGGGCAGTTCTTACAAAAGCGGAAGAGATTGCTACCAAATTACGCATTCGGCATTTGCAGGATCAACCATTATCACAATTATCTGGAGGGGAGAGGAAACGGGTAGCTTTGGCAAGTGCATTGGTACAAGAGCCAGATGTGCTATTACTCGACGAGCCGACCAATTTCCTGTCTCTGGCGGGAGTCCAATGGCTTTCAGACTTGCTCAAGGAGAATCCAAAGTTGACACTTTTGATGGTCACGCATGACAGGGCATTCCTGGATGAAGTTAGCAATTGCATCTATGAGCTCGATCATGGATCGCTCTACCAGCATGAGGGCACGTATGCCCAGTACTTGGAAGCAAAGGAAGCGCGTTGGGCGGCACAGGATGCCGCCACTCAGGCTGCCAAGACCAAGTTCAGGGGAGAACTTGAGTGGATGAGACGACAACCTCAGGCTCGACAATCAAAGGCCAAAGCCCGCATTGATGCTTTTTACAAACTGGAAAAGGCAACGAAACCAAGGCCACGGGATGCCTCTCTGAATATTGAGAACGCTGGCCAAGAACGACGATTAGGTGGAAAGATTCTTGAGTTGCGCAACCTAAACCTCAAGTTTGGGGATCGCGTGATGCTTTCGGACTTTAGCTACGACTTTTGCGCAGGAGATCGAATATGCCTCGTTGGCTCGAATGGAGTTGGTAGGTAGACACAGCAATTCACTGCTGGGCAGAGTTGCTCGGCTTGGGACGCTACGCTCACATGTCTCCTTTTTTTAAATGGCGAACCGTAGGCAAGACAACATTTCTGAAAGTCTTGACGGGGGACTTGCCATTTGACAGCGGAAAGCGTGAAGTCGGCGAAACCATTGTCATGGGAGTTTACGACCAATTGGGTTTGACCCTTACGGAGCAAGAACAAAGGGAACTGACAGTTCTTGACTTTGTCTTGGAAAAGGTGCAGGCTACACAAAGCCCAGGTAGTGACAACCCGGGGGTTGTGGCTCAAGACGAAGCCCGACGGCTGCTGAAACAGTTTGAGTTTCCCCGGCCTCGATGGATGGAAAGGGTTTCAATGCTAAGCGGGGGTGAGAAGAGGCGACTGCAATTGCTCGAGGTCATAAGTAAGAGACCCAACTTCCTGGTGAGTCCCAACGAGGACGACGAAAATGCTGATTGCTCCCTCCAACTTGCACTAACCACCTGATTATTGGAAAGCTGATGGACGAACCGTCTTGCGATATGGATCTCAATACGCTCGCTGCCTTGGAAGCGTATTTGAACGACTTTAAAGGAGTTGTCATTGCTGTAAGCCATGATCGGAGTTTTGCCGATAGGTGCTCGGACCACTTATTTGTGTTTGAGGGAGACGGCATTGTTAAGGACTACCAAGGTTCTCTTTCAGAATATGCCTCTTGTCTGATCGATCTTGAAGATGACAAGATACAAAAGCAACAACTTGGCGGCACAACAGTGGAGAAAGGCCAGAAGAGGATGGATTTCAAAGAGGACAAAGCAAAACGGAACGAACAACGAAACGCTATTCGTCGTGCGAAGAAAGACATGTCCAACCTCGAGAGGGCCATCGAAAAGCTCAAAGCACAAGCTCATAGTGTCCAAACGGAAATTGATGGGAGCAGTGACGAGGGATGGACAGTGTTGGCAGAACTGACGGAGAAGATGAACAAACTCAATGATGAGATTGATGAAAAGGAAATGCGATGGCTAGAAGTTGCAGAAGAGCTGGAGGCTGCCGAATTGGAAGTTTAAGCACAGCAATACAGCGTTGTACTATTTGCCAGCAAGCACAAAGTAGGACGAACTTCCCACCCGCGGACGATTAGATCCGCCTATTGCTTCTCCTCTGGGAAATCAAGTGACACCGTTCCTTGATGTTTTGCTATGCACACTTTCAGACGTTTTGTCATACAGTCGTAGTCTATAGATTAGTATGAAGTTGTCGACATCGTGCCCAGAAGGGAAAAGCGCGCTGTGGACTTTTAAAAAGAAATCTAAACTGGCTTGCCCTCTTCAGTCTTGTTGACGCATGTGTGACACAGAGTATCACAGGTGCAGACGTTGCAATCCGCTCTCAGTTCCACCAATTCGCCGCTTTCAAATACACCCAAACCGCACAGGTCTCGAATCTCATCGAAGTTGTTATGAGCAATGTTCATGTTGGCTATCCACCAAAGGGGTACAGAAGAGAGGGCAAAAGAATGAGCGGCAAAGCCTTTTCATGGCGCAATTGTATTGTGTTCACTTCCAACAACGTACTCAAATGATAGTCTGACCAGCCCCAAGATGGAAAGCTCCCCGTAAAATTATTGCCTTGAAGGAAGAGTTGTTTTACGTTGCCGCCTCCCACTTGGGGGAAGTCTTGTGGTAGCTCACCAGAGAACTTATTGTTTTCAAGGTACATGATTCGAAGTGCAGGCAACATCTGTGGCCAGTCAATGCCGGCAATTGACCCTTCGAATGCGTTGTCGGAGATGTCTAGATAGTATAGGCTCCGCAAGCGAAGTCGCTCTGGCAGGGTCCCGTTGAATCTGTTGTGATGGAGGATAAGATATCCTGACGAGGGAAAGCAACGATTCAATGAGATGATGCACATCAGTAGAAATTTCTTTGAGCGCTTTCAAGCAAAATCGTCACTCACGTAGATCTTTCGGCCCTCCGCCAGTGGCAGTTGTGAACGCCAACCTGACAACACAGGCAACGAGAAATCAAAATAATGACAAAGCATTTGAGACAAATTTATGTGGGTGCTCAACTACCCGAGAGCACAAAGCAACGCCAAACAAACTTACGGGAAACCCCCTTCCAAACGATTTTTTCCCAAATAGACACGGTCCAGCTTTTCAGGTGCTGGCCGCTCCGGCACTGTGCCCGAAAAACGATTCTCAAAGAGGAAAAGCTCTTTCAGATGTGGTAGATCCCAGAATGGATCGATCTTCCCCGTGATATGATTCTGAGCAAGATCCACCGTTTGAAGTTTCTGCAGCATGGATATCTCATTGATGAGCTTTCCACGCAACCCTTGACCTGACCACTTGATGGCTACAACTTCTTTGCGTGAATCACAAGTGACTCCTTCCCAATCGCACATGTCCTTGTCGTATGTTCGCCATCGTCTTGGAGCAGCTTGTTCCCCGTTGGCCACTCTGCTGTTTGGTTCATCGCTTTTTTGGTCGTCATCATCATCGTCGTCGTCATCATGGAGAGCAAAATCTAGTGCAACCAAAGCATAGCGCTGTGGAACCCTGAACACGCTGATTTGTTCAACTTCTGGTTGCATGAGCCACAGAAACGCCCTTCCTTGCGCCGTGGAAGGATCCGACAATAATTCCTCAGGGGTACCCAGTACAACTAGATAGTTGAAGAGAGGCGTGCTGAAGAGGTCGACAGGTTCCAGACTCGGATACGACGAGGGGCGCGATGAGGCAGGTTTCTTGGTTGGCGTTGCAGTTGGCATGAAAGAAGGAATTGGTGTGGCTTCTGTTGGCTTTGGGGTTATCTTTGCGGATGCAGAGACCGTCACAGGGACAGGAGGCTGAGGGGGAGCAGATGGAGTTTCGGTAGGTTCAGGTCTCGTGGAAGGATTCAATGATGGACTCGAAGAGGGTAGTCTGGATTCTCCTTCTTTGATCGGTGGTACTGTCGCCTGTGCCAGAGTAGTTGGAGCTGAAAAGGTTGGAGCATCCGTCGTTGGGGTGTTGGTCGCTGTTGGGGAGGCTGTCGGAGACTTGGTCCACCCTTCAGGATTCGTAGGTGGCGTGGGACTTGCTTGCACTGTTAGGGGTGCGTTGGATGAAGAAACCTCATTGTGTGGTGCGGGGAGGGAGAGTCCCCCGGTTGGCCTCGCTGATGCCAGGGGCAGCGTCGACGATGGAGCCTTATTTTCGGAACCCTCTTTTGATATTACCAACGGTAGAATCAATACGGTAGCAATAAGAACAAAGATGGCTCCGTACATTACAGAATATCCAGCAAGGCAGGTTACTTTCCCGCGAGCGTCTGTCTCAGTGGGTTCTTGAGTGGTACCGGTACCAGCTTCAGCGTCATCTCCTTCAGAGGCGGCACTCAGAAGGGTGTCATCATTATGGACCCGAGGCACAACATCGTCATCATCAGAGGGAGACTCCTTACAAGTATCCTCATCTGATTGCGAGCGGCCTTTTGCTTGAATCTCCTTATCCGAAGAGTCCATCCCTCTCTCTGTTCAGTCTGAAATACGGTAGCCAACACAACGCCTTGTGGATCCCTACAAAGACAGCTTGCTTCCTTCACTTACTTCTTCTTTTCCCACTATCTCTCTGATCAGCAAGACCGTTTCTACTTTCCTTTCGCAGAGGTGAAAATAACCAAAAGCTGAGGGGATTATGGTTACGGTACTTACACCATTGACGAATGTTTCGCATGACTTGCAAATATTTCATTTAGGAGTGTTGGCCAACTCTGTCTAGGCCAAGGAACTTTCTATGGCGCGAACGAGTAGGATATTAAGTCCTCGACCGATTGGTCGGCTTTTGATGGTTAGTCAGGAAAATTCTTTAGCTGGCTGCCTGGCTTTACTCAGGTAAAAGGGTTCGGGAGATGATATTGCACCACCACTAGCTAGCTAGTACAGTCGTACGAGTACTCTAGCTAGCTGTCTGCATGGATTGGACTGCCGGGAGAAGTACCTGGCAGCTGCAACAATCCACTCTGGATACCCATTGAGTCGATCCTTTGAACTGCCTGGACTGAACTGGAGGGACCTTTGTTTTTTATTAGGGATGGCATAGTCTAAATAATGGCTGAAGCCAACCTTTTGCACCCTGAACGGCTGGCTAGCCATCACCCATTACCGTACGAGGCAAAAATGAGGCTTTCCCTTCTAGCTAGCTTGCTTTGGAGAAGTAATTTAGACAGTCAAGCCCAATTATTCGTTGCAGATGATTCGACCAACAGTACCAGGTACCGTACCCAGCTAGTGGCACTATTAATAGACTGCTGGCTTTCTAGATTCTTCACTGGCAGACCATTGCTGCGGGCGTATCGGTACGGCAACTGATTGATCTCCGTTGAACACCTACTTGTGGACTAGTGTGTCAGGTCAAGTCGCTGTCTGCCTCGTTGTGCCCTTGCGTTTCCCTTTCTCCCTCCCTCACTCCTTGGCTGTTGCATCGTTCTGTTCGGCAAGTCATCATCTTGCAACTTGCTTATTGTCGCGGTGTCAATGTCAATCTGCGTGACCGTAGTGAGCCAGAGAAAATCCATTTGAACCAGCACTGCAGCCGCAATTCTGCTCGACCAAGCCCAGGATGTCATCCCGCCAGCTATTCAACGTAAGCTGCAGGATCTTCTTTCGCCAAGCTCCGTGGGTGAAGCCGAACCGTGTAGCTATGTCAGCGCCACTGTCGTTGCTTTCCGCGTTGAGTATCCCAAAAGAAACAGCCTCGTGCAGCGCCTCCAACACGAGTTCCGCGTGGTCTTCCCTTTCTTCGGCCTTTATTCCACGATATGTTTCCATAACGACAATAACATCTTGCGCTGAAAAGAATTCTCCAAGAATTGCTGCCAAGTTCAAATGTGTTCTAACTGTGGCTGGCACCGAGTCCAACCTTTGAAGGACATGCGCTGCAAACGATGAATCACCATCTGAGTCCATAGACCCCACAGGATGAAATTCTCTACGGTTCGAAGCTTGCTTCGTGGTGTTTCCGTCGAACACCTCTGGCGAGACAACAGCACTGACACCAAACCTTGCGATCATGTCCACAGCCAATCGCGGTTTGCCCCCTGACTGCAGGTATAGCTCCCGACCGTATTCCTTTCTCACGGCATCAGATGGAAGGCATGTGATATTCTTGGCCTTCTCGTGGTAGCTGATCAATTTGTCAATATCATCCAATCCCATTGGTGGCAATTCGATATGAAGGAAGCTATTCAACCCCAAGGCTTCGTTGAACAGGTAGTCCCAGAAGGCCGCTGACATGTTGAAATCCTTTACTGTTGATGCGTTGGACGCCCCTAATACAATGAGGTTACATGCGTTTGCATACCACATCTCGATCACTTTCCAAGAAAACTCGTCCATGAACGACACGTTGTCGACTCCCAATAGCACCAGATCAAGATCAACGGTCGAATGAAGAAGGATCGAGACAACTTGTTGTGCCAGAGAATTCTTTTCAGCAGTCGACCAACAGTGGCTCGCCGCAATGTTGGAGTAGCTGTCTTCTGTTCCTTCAAGATCAGGCCACTTGTGATGGAAAACCAGTGAGTAGATGGCTTCGATGTACTCATTTGTGACATTCGCATCGAGGCAGGCGGCGTAGAACTGCTCAACAGCGACTGCCCCGTCGCTATTGCAAAGTGCTGTGCCCGCAGGACCATGAACTGTTTCGACTGCGGGACAGTCATCTGCACAAGCAACCTCGGGCTTCTTTCCTGCCCGCGCAAGGATATCTAGAAGTACTGGTCCCAAGACGCTCAATGGACGGAAGAGGTCGCCTTCGCAACACACCTGCGCAAGAAAGAGATGAGAGTGCTTGCTTTTGTCGCATTCCTCCAGAATCTGACCAATTGCTTGCGTCATTAAAGAGCTCTTCCCCATCCCACTGGACCCAGAGATCAGAACCATCTTAGCTGAGGAGCATCCTGATCTTAGGAGATCCTCTGAAAGAACCATTATGCTTTCGAGCTCTTCCTCTCGCCCAACGAAAATCTCGGAAAGTCGTGTCCACTGTGAACGCCTGTGCATGACAGGTTCGAAAATAGGCACGGGCTCGGCATATCCCTTGGCCTTGACTGGTTGCAATGCCCGAAACGACCAACCAGTAGCATCTCCATGCACCCCCGACGCTACCAGAAATCCCCGGTTCTGTTTGCTGCACATCAGCCTGGCAGCCAAATTAACAGAAGGTCCAAGGACCGCGTATTCGTGACGAGAGATACCCCCTACCACACCACAGTACGCATCATCATAAGTGGCGCCCAAGCGACAAGTCACATTCGCCTCTGATTGTAGCGCCGATCGAAGGCTTGCCGCGAACGGCATTGCGTGTGTCTCAATCATGCAATCCAAGGCAGTACCTCGCAACCCAAAGTTGGCGATCAAAACTACTCCTGTTTCATCAACCAGAAAGACAATGTGAGATGGAGATTGCTCGAGGAAAAGTCGCACTTGAAATGACACCACACCTTACCTTTGTCATCAACGATGAACTGTCTCAAGCGACCCTTGAATCGAGCCAACTCGCGGTTTGCTAATACCATGACTTGATTTAACGTTGCCATCATTGCTTGATCATCGATGGGGTCGCCAGTAACGTCGACCGAGATCTCAGGTTGCAAGAAGACAGTGAATACCTTTCGAATCTCGGCCTCGGACTGTAACATACGTTGATCCTGCTTGAGCCCCTCCTGTCGGTTATGATTCTGTTCACAGGATGCTTCGGAGGAAGAATCGGAATCAAAAGATGCCGAGGCCAGCGCTCGTTTGCAGTGAAACACACTTGTGAAAAGTTCTCCCTCGACCACGTTCGGATGAACATAGAGCGACATCAGTTCTTGTAATCGGAAGAGAGATGCGACGTCCCAGTCTCGCAAGAGAGATTTCCAAGTCTTTGTGGCTAGTTTTGAGGACGCTGAAGAGAGCGGTGGTGGAATCAGCACCTTTTCTGTATCGAGAAAAATCGGTCTTGTCTCTTGCCAATCATCTCGCGACGAGAAAACTACCCGTGGACCCTCCTCCTCTAATGTTTCAGCTTCGTGCCCGTCGTCCATGTTCTGGCCTGTGGTGGATCGCAGACGTTTAAAGGCTTGAGGAGACGCTACTACTTCTCCTTCTTTCCCCAATCTGATACCTTCAGATGCCTGATGTATTGGGTCGCCGAGCAGCAAAAACTCTCGTCGCCTGTCGTCTCCCGCATGAAACCCCACGATTGTTCCATATCCAATCCCGCAGTGGACGTTCAAGCTTGCCACTAGCGTTGTTTCTGCCTTGTCCTCGTAAACGCGGTAATTGGAGCAGCGCCCAATGATTTGGCAAGCGCACGCCGTTGCCAATTGCACACATCTGTCATCGTTTTCTTCGCCCTCATCCACTCTCCATTCTGCCATGACGGCGTCCCCAGCAAACCGGACCACGTCCCCTCCGTAGTCCTGGATGCAAGTGACGATACGCTGAAAGTATGCGTTGATAGTTTCGGAAAGGCTTTGAAGGGATAGCCTGTTGGAAAGAGATGTGAACCCAGAGATATCGACCAGGAGGAGAGCCGCTGGATGGTAATCGGGCGGTATCATTCCAAAACTGACTGCAGTGTCCGGTTCATGGTCCCCATTCGCGGGCTCTTCATCATCGAACGCCGCCAAGTCAATGCTCGCTTCATCGTCGTCATCGTCATCGGATAGCGACATGTCATCGTTGAACGAAGATGACAATCTATCAAGCGATTGTTGTGTCTTGATTCGTCGTTGTTCGCAACGTTGCTCTGATGCCTCCATCATCATCATCAGGCCATCGTGATCATGAGGTGCTGCGCCATCATCGTTTCCAATTGTCTTGCATTGAACCACGGAACAGCTTCGTCTCGCGGGGGAATTCAATTCATTGTTGTGGTTTGACAACGTCGGCTGGGAATGCCGTTTGGGGCGGGTACTTGCCATGATTTCACTCGAAGGAGACTGACTATAAGTTCTGATCGAGGAGCCTACGACGCCGGAAGCAGATGCCCGTCGTCTCTTGGCACCACCACGACGAGCCCTTGTTTGGTGGTTGTTTGCCGTTCCATTATTAGTGGTGCAAGCAACTTCTTGGGGATGACAAACCCCGGAATTCAACATCAACGGTTGCTGCTTTAGTACTTGCGCCATCAACTGCTGGACGACATGCCGAGAAAGATGCCGGCTGAGCCATTCGACACATTCGAGCAGTTTGGTCCGTTGAAAGGCTTCATCCTTGCTAATGAGTAGTGAAGCCAGGGATCCTCCGGTAGAATAGCAGGAAGAGGAATAGGCACTGGAGAATGTGGAACAGGAATCCAGGGAAGTCCGTCTACTTGCCGACCTCTTGGTTCGAGTGGGCCGAGCCGCTGGAAAGGATTGCGAGAATTGTAGATAACTACTCGTCGCTGCTGATGACGACGAATAAGCATAGTGGTTGCCTTTTGACGGAGGGCTTGATGAATGGGTAGACGAGTTGTTGTCCATCATGTTTGTTGTATGCTGAGCTCGGCGATTGCAGGATGGCAAGGTATCAGCGGAAGCGGAAAACGTCTTGTCAGTCATCCAGGCATCTCCCGGCGGGGGTTCACTACATGTTGTATTGGCCAGAGAATCCCCCACCAAGACGACAGAAGGAGGGTCTTCCATGGTAGTAGCCGTGGTGAAGCTGACTCTGCGATGAGCTTTGCCTGGGGGACTTGATGGGCCATCCCTGATACCCTCCTTGACTTGCTGCCGCCCTTGGTCCGCATTATTATTGTCGTTGTGATTGTTAAGACCGGAAGAGCAGGAAGATGTGGAGGCAGTAGCGGAGCCGCGGCGTGGAGCCTTGACTTTGATGATGGAAGGACCCATGCCGACTGTTACTTGTATGTTGTAGGAATAGGTTATCTGGGCCACTCCAATTTTGTATCGTCCCTCAGGGGCGAGAAAATCGAAATCAGCGGAAGTGAAACGATCTGAATGGACGAGCCAGGAATGGAATTCAACGCCAGGGTTCCGAGAGAATCTTCAGTCTATTATGTCGATACTGCTGCGCTCCCTCCAAAGGATAGGTGCCAACAACAATGGCAACAACAAAACCTTTGCTAGCTATGCATATATGCTACCGCAACTAACTGAGTCGATGAGTCTTCTAAAGCAATGACATGCATATTATGCCACCCTACCGGTGTTGCCCAAAGCACAATCCGAAGGTAGAGAGGGACAAATGAGAAAGGCGAGGGTGCCGTGGTTGGTGCAGCTGGAGTTTTAAAGTTTGTCCTACACCAACTGTTACGTCTGATTCAGTACCAGACAAATTGGTGGTGTCACGCACCAAGCACGGCACAAGTCTGCGGCTTCTCGAAGACATGATCGAAGCCACAAAATCCATTTCTTGTCTAAATAGATGTCTGACTGGAGATCCGTTTCTATTCTTCCGACATTTCGTTTCTGGTGCGTCACTAATGTGAAAGCTTCAGAGCTGTGAGAACATCCAGGAAGTGCGCTCAGACGTTGCTACCGTACCATGGTCTAGTTACAACACTCAAGGTGGGCGATGTCAACACAGTCCACCCCTCAAGACAGCAGGGGATACCGGTAGTTCCAGTGTGGCTACCTAGCCAGGCGGGGAGTGACCTGCTAAGACGGAGGTAGACTAGAAGACCTCTTGTAACTACCGTACGTAACGAGTCCACCAAATCCATGGGTGATGCCAAGGACGCTGCAGGCAGATCATGAGTTCCATCCACCACCAGTCAGTTTTTAGCATCCAATCATTCATACTAGTACGTCAAAAGCCAAGGTGCTTTTGCTATGCAATACGGGCGAGCGAATAGAACTGTGAAACTTCCTTGTTGGCACAAGGGATGCATGCTCAGGATGATCAGCCAATTCGATACGGTACAAGCCATGTTGGCTGCTCCAGACTAAGTCGCTCAATCTTCCATCAACCAAGTAAGAGGCAAAGGATCTTCTTGACAAAAGATAATAATTCATTTGGGAGGCAAAGTTCTGGAGAGCGCTTGGCTCCAAGTTGCCTTGGCAGCTTTGATTAGTTCCCTTTTGGATGATTCTTCGCATACCGCCAGGAACGGCAAGCTTGCTGCATTTTTAAAAAAAGGATAGTACATGTAGCGCATGTTTTCTCAAGCACTGTAACTTTCTAGCAATAATCTGAGCCTCCGAAAGAGTTGTTTGTACCCTTGAGCCGACCAATGTAATTCTTTTAAAAGTTAACGATGTACACTTGAGCCGAGCAGCAGTAAATTATGGCCGAGCGGTTCCCGACCAGCCAATAGACGCGGCTCGATGTTTGTTGCCTCAAATTAGCTTGTTGGACTCGACTCGACTCGACTCGACTCTGCCCTCCCAAAGGACGAACGCGGCGGGCAATTCTGTTTAGTTTTTGTCCGGACGTGCTTTGATGTTTGTTCTGTTGTCGCAAGCAGCTCTGCTAGCTAACTGTCACCACTCACTGAGTGACTGTCAACAAAATTTGATTTGACTGATCTAGCTATAGCTATTAGCTAGGCTAGCTAGTACAGTACTCTAGTATGGTTTTTCCTTACTTAGGGGTTCTTTTCCTTCTTTGTAGAAAGGAACGTCTTGAAGCCTCGTTCAAAAACAGCTGGAACAAGAGAGGGTTAATCTTACAGTCTTACAGTCTGCAATCTGCAAGACAGTGTATGAGTGTACTAGTACGCATATTAATAGGACTATCGATGACTGCCATCAAGGCTTCAGTAGTAATGGAGAAGTTAGTTGTAAAAAGTCTTGCAAGAGCACAAATTCCACCACTACGAGCGAAGGCTACCTGACATCTACCTGACACACGACCTCCTCCTTCGTCGTCAGGTTGAAAACACATCTGTAGCTGGCTGCTACACGCTCGACTCTCGTGACTGACTCTCGACTATGGGAGACAATGAGCTAGCTAGACAACTCCCGGTATCTATTAGTGCAAGTTTCTATTCTTCCCTACATGTAGTCTACATAGCTAGATGTTGTCGGGTGTCTTCTCGTCTGGAGGCTTTCCTCTGCTGGCAGTGGGGGCAGCTCTGTCGGGATCTTTCCTTTCCTCCTCTGGTTGGCTCCCCTGGAGGTCTATGTTTTGCATCGGGGAAAGAGTTCTTTGCAGTGGGGCAAGCGATTGGTTCAGTCCTAGAAAGCTGGTGTTTGAGGAAAATGGCTGAGGGGCTCTAGCAGCAATAGCTTGCTGCTGCCGAATGGCGGCCGAGAGTAGCTGTTCACCTTGTGGGTGCTGCCCTTGGTCCCCTTGAGTTGGAGGGAAATTTGGCAGCTGTGGGAAAGGTGTGGGTTCAAAAAGGTTCGAGAGGAAGTTTGGAAGAGTGGTGCCGCCTGTGTTGGCTGTAGCAGTAGCACTACTCAGAATGTCTTGCTGCGCTGGGTTTGGTTGCATCTGAAGTGATTGCCCTGTTTCTGCTGCTACGGCTTGTCCGTGGGCGACTCGTATTTGATCGTTGGAGGCAGATGCAAAGTTGCCTGCAAGAGAATATCGAGGAGCTGTGGATTGCTGAACAATGGTGGCACTTGTACTTGCAGCAGTTGATGCCGTCCCGGGCCTACCTGCATTCAAACCCGGTAGGCCAGCAGCATGCTGAGATAGAGCCATCGAAGACCATGATGAGATCGAAGCACTGTCAAATGCTGGGGCCCCAGTAGGCATCTGGTGTGCATTGGCGTTCGCTTGAGCCAGAGCGCCACTTTGGCTTTCATTGGTGCGATTCACATTGGGCAGCAAGGTCGTAGCGGAGAGTGCGGGTACGGGTGCAAATACCTGGACTGCGGGCTGGTGCTGCTGGTGCTGACGCCAAAGACCCATCTGTTGTAGCTGAAGCGCTGCAGCTTGCTGGGCTGGTAGGACCGCTTGAGGCTGCAGCAAGGTGGACTGAGGCTGGCCAACTCTGGGTTGTATCGGCAGTGATGCCACTTGAGGATACACGTTCACGGCGCCCTGACCTGCCAGCATCTGGGCGGCTGCGGGCGCTGCACTGGCAACGCCGCTACCGGGCTCGTCAGGAGGCAAGGCCGTCATTTGGTAAAAGTTGGGCTCAGATTCGTGGGACACTGCCTTCCTTGCCCCTCTCCCCTTGATTCTGGTCCTTTCTATCTTGCGGCAGAGCGTAGGCTTCCGTCTTAGGAAGAGTTCATGGTAGTAGCCTGGCCGACGGTACACAATGGTGTGAGAACGTGAAAGCACATTTCTCATCAATGGGCTGAAAACGGAGAGACTTACCTCCTTTGTCAGGGCCTGAAGCAAATCATAAGCAATGTTGGTCAGGCTGCACCCCAGAAGCTCGCAAACGACCGTGATCAGACAACACAACTCACCTTTGTGCAGCCGCATGAATCCATAGAGATTAAGCTGACGCAAAAAAGAGGAGTTACTGGATTGCTGAAACCACCTGAATAATTCACAGAAGAGGTTTTTCCAAGATTAGCATTCAACTTGAGGACCCACTTGAGAGGGCCCGGGCTTGACCAGTGCTGCCAATGGCCACTTACCTTGGCATGACTTGCTGCTCAAATAGCTCTTTGTTATGGACCAGGAAACACCTGCCATGTGGTTGCCATGAAATGATGTGTGAGATACCCTCCTTCTCCGCATTGGTCAGCAATCTATGAAGGCGCGCTGGGAAATTTTGGTCGGCAGGTCTGTAGAGAGACATCTCCACAAGGTGGCTCTGAAGATTACTCTCCTCCTCTTCGTCGTTGGCATGATCATGGTAGGAATGTTGCACCTTGCTAGCTTCATCGGCCTTTTTCTTGCTCATTGTCCTTGTCACTTGCTTTGGGGGTTGTGGCTTTTAATATTATACTGAAGCTTTTCGTTGGTATTGCCTGACAAGCAACCTCTTTCTTCACCGAGGTTTGCTGAAGGACAGCCCGATGGACTCCCTATGCACTCGTTTTGATAAGGGTGCTCACGGCTGGCAGGTGGTGGAAGGGACATTCAAGCCAAAGATAAAGCAAACAGAGCCAACCGCGATTCCTGTTCCGTCAGCTTTTATTGTCAACCAAGTGATCGGAAGTGTTAAGTGCGCCCTTCCAGATGCCTTCAATGCAAGTCATAAAGAATCCTGGTTCTTTTCTTTTGAGCCCACGTTCACACCTTTTTTTACTTACTCAATATTCAAGTCCGAGTCACCAACCCGGATCGTTCTGGTGAACTTCAACTGATCGTCACCATCTCAAAATATATTCTCCTTGACTATAAGAAACTAAATGGTTTTTGCTTTTCACTCGGACCAATGAAAGTTTAGAGTTGTAAAGGGCTGGAAGGTTCCGACAGGTAACTACATTACGATACAATGTACTTCAAAGACTATTCCATAGCTTATCAAATCTGTAGGATACCATGGTGCAGAATTTTTTTGCTGTCTTATTATTCAAGCATTGTTTTGTCTCGGTTGGGATTTTCTGCTGCGAGGCTAAGCATGGCGAAGTACAGTAAAACTCAGAGAATATTTCTTATGCAGAGGGCTGGAGTGTGGATACTGGTAGCTGCTCATGTACTGTTGACCGCCACGTTTTCCCTGCCAGTGGCCAAAGCGAACAAGCCATTCGCCACCAAAACCGATCCACCAGAGGGCAGAGGGATAGCCACTGGCAGCTACTGGTCTAGCTAGCTAGCTCTAGAAAGAGAGATGATAAAGTAACACAACCCCTCCATCAACAAGCACTGGCTGCCAGTCTGATTTCAAAGGGCGAGTTCTTTTAAAGCTGAGATTAAAAAAAAAGAGGAAGCTGCTACTAGTGACTTGTTTGCGCCTACGAATACACGAAGCAATCACCCCACCACCACCACAAGTAAGTCTATGCATATGCATCCTAAAGAGTTGAACTGGTACTCTGGTACCATGTCACCAGGCGTACCATATAATATTATTAATATATACTAGAGTAATAATGAATGATGGCTTCTTGGATGGAGTGTTCTCTGTGCACCAAGAAAGAGCCTTGTGACATAGATAACTCATTGTTTGCCTACAAAGGGAAGTGTCAGCAATTCTGTGAACTGTGCAGAAGGTGAAGACATGAAGACGCAGATAATAATATATATTATATAGACTACAGTACTAATAGCTACTAATGGATCCAGCATTCAGGCACAATGCACAGAACGACACGGCCAGCTGGTGTTTGAGTTATGGCTACGGTAGTAACTGTACCTGTACATTGTGTCGACTTGCAGCCGTACTTGTGCATTCACTCTGAGGTGGCGACAATGACATAGTACAGGTTGTGGCTTGTTCCTCCTCCGCCACCTGTTACGTTTGAAGAATAGAGAACCTGGTACATGTGGTACCACTGCGTACCTATGCGTGCGTTACCGGTAGCAGCTGCGGTACTAGTAGCTCAAATAATTATTTGGATAGCTGTTGGATGCCCGGATGAGAAATAATATTATGAAATAAATATAAGGAAAGCAGAAGCCAGCTTCAGCTTTCTGGCCAGATCAGAGTGCCGGTACTGTGCCGGTACAGCTGTCAGGCCAAGCCACGGATGTTTGTTTTGTTCCAGCGGGAGGCAACCGCAACTCTGCAAGTTGCAAGAAAACGTCAAGAGCCCCCCCAGCTGGCGAGAGGCCGAAGAAAGCAGATCGAACTCTTGATCCTTGCCGCATTTCTGACTGGAGTGTCGCCACGTCGAATGCAAAGGGGGGACTGTGGGACAGTTTCGTCTGTCGCTGCTCAGAGTGGGTGAGTGGGTTGGATGGCCGTCTTTCGATTGGTTCCACCGAGGGTTCTGCCATTCTCCCCTCTTAGAAAAGTCGAGTGACGACCCAAAATCCCACGCCTAAATTTCGGCAGGCTGGTACAACTAGCTAGCTAGCTAGGAGCAATGCCAAGCCCTCGCAACCCTGTCAGAGGAGCTGTCAGAGGACGCCGTCTGAAAGATGGAAAGATTCTGGCCTTTTCAGGGGCAGCATTTACTCTATCTGCTATTTCGGGCTGGCTTATACATGTACAACAAGCTAAGTCGTGAGTTAATCATGACTGAATAAATCAACAAAACTTCAACCGTGATTAGTTAGTCCCGGGTTACGCACGTTAAACGAACATAGCGTGTCCGCAAGAAGAGTTTTCTACTGTTTATGTTTCGGAGTTTCACTTTGAAACGTAAACAAGACACAGTAAACAGTAAATTTACGTCTTTTACGGATTAAATCGATAGACGACCGAAACAGTAAATTTTGGTTTCTACCTTTTATTTCGACTTTGCCCCTTAATTTTTAAGTAAGTGGGACCAGTCAATCGACCGAATGATTCAATCGAATCAGGAAGAATGAAACTGTAAAGTAGTGAAAATGGGAAAAAACCTAATGCAAACAGAAAACCACTATTACGGACACTGTATTTCTGTAAGTTGTCAGTTGACTACATGTACCTCTGCCAAAAATCTCGCTTCCGACTGGCAAAAGGCGAGCCACGAGCCACCGATTGACAACTTCACGCACTGATGTTTCAAGAGAATCCAGGTGCAAGCTCTTGTTCTGTTGAGCTGTGACAAGGCTGCTGATTGTTGGCCAGAGTATCCTGGTGGATTGAATCAATCGAGGGGTTCACTTCTCACTGCTGACCGGTCGACCCTCAACAGGCCAGTTTCTGATTCCGAGAGTGCTTCGGTGATATAATTCAAGAAACACCCCGTTGAGCACGCTGGCTGTCACTCCCACTGGCGATTGATTGGTGGCAGCAAAACGTCTGGTACAGTGTACTTCGAATCGAATCGGCTGATCTACGTTATCCGGCTCTATTCACCACCCTTCTCGAACAGAAGTTCCTCCATTCCCTCCCCACTCCCCACTCCCCACTCCCCACAACTCATTTACAAGCATGAGCACCGATCGATCGTTGCAGCGACGTCGTTGGCGAAAGACCAGTCGATTGAGCCGAATGGCGTCGCTTCAAGAATCCGAGCTTTCCATTATTACGCAGCCTTCCGATGTCAGTGACCAGGAATCCTCCTTGACCTCCCTCATGGCATTTGATCCTTTGGCTTCTGATGATATCCTAGATGGGTACGCTGTCGATGATGAGACCAGTATTGATGCGCCGCGGAGCATTGAAAAGCCACGCCAGCTGGCATCTGCGTCTCCTTTGCAACAAAGTCCAGTCTCCACGGCAGAAATGGTGGAAGAATCAAACATACAAGTACACTTCTGTGAAACCACGGTCACAGAGATGAACCAGATCTTGAAGTGGTATTCCTCAAGAAGTGTGATGGACAATGATGATGGAGCTGGAGCAGACAGTCAAGCACCAGACAACTCTTTGAATCTCCAACGCGAGGACCTGCCAGTTCCGGAACACAACGATTCCTATATCACCGACCAGGACTCCTCCTTGACATCTGCGGTTGCACTGTCATCAGATCTGCTATTGGGTGATATCCATCACGAGTATTCTGCAGGTGAAGATCGTCATGAAAAAGGCCTTGACATACCATATGGTCTGTCTGCATCCATGTCGTCTCTGCACGACCAGAAACACAACAATATTCAACCCCTCTCTACAACCAAAGCAGCGGAGGAATCCAAGATTCAAGTTCACTTTTGCGAAACTACTGCCACGGAAATGAATGAAATTCTCCATTGGTGGTCCTCCAAGAGCGCGATTGACACTGATGCAACAGCTGATGATAGCTCTTTGAAATCCCATGAAGAAAATGGTCACTCAGACCAGCAAGCTTCACATCTGACCGGTAACTCGCTGGTATGTGACACTCCCAAATCTGAGGCTTGTATGGACCTTTCGCAGCATTCGCACTTTGGGGGACGAAGCGTGTCGTCATCGCTTTCAGTGTCCCAGAATCACTGTGAAATGACAGACGATCCGCTGTCACAAAGCGACACTCTCTTTCCATCCATTCAGGATGACGAGAAAGAAAACGCTAACATTGTGCATCTCGGGGTTGCAGATGGCTCCGACCAAGAGGACATGCGAGCGACGGCGCAGGAACAACATGAAGAAGTTACGCGCCTCTTGTATCAGACACAAGACATGGCCGAAAAGGTCGCCTCTCTTGCGGAAACGTCCTGTACCGAAGAAGAAGAAGACGAGGAGGGTAATGAAACTGACCACGATGACGAATGCACCGGACCACTCCTTGAAGTGGTTGAAGGTTGGCTGAATGCACCTCGTGGCGGGATTCGACGACGACGTCGAAAGAAGCTTCATTCCAACATTCACAATAAGAGCCCTTCAGACCAGGAAGTTCCAAGCTCCTCGTTGCTACAATTGCGCTGGCAAGATTATGCTCACCTATGGTTTCGTCGCCATCGAATGAGTTTCGAAACGGCCATTGTTAGGCGTTGCTTGGTCCCAGTTCTGCCACTTCCTGCGCTTCTTCATCTCATGAATCGGCCCAAGCTCACCCGTCAACTTGTTTGGGGTACAATCCTCCTGGCTATGCTTGGATTCCCTTTGATCCTGTGGCTCTATTTCCCACAACGGGTGCTTGCTCCAGTATCTGTTCAGCCAAAATTGGACCTCTTCTTGCAACACCCGTACTATACCTCCGAGCTGCACTACTCCTTGCACGCGATTCGTCCCCTTGCGGGTGAAACCACTTCTACATTCTTCGAAAGTGACTCTGATTATGATTTCCTTTGAAATATTGGACCTCAACTGGTCAGCTGTCGGGTTGATACCAATCTAATATGTACATCTATTATAGCTACTACGAAAAGTTGATATTCACAATCATGACTGCTAGATTCTCTTAATTAACTACCGTATGGGCTTTTGACTTGCTTGCTTGATTATTCTACCTTCGATCGAGCACTTCCATCATTCCTTCGTGTCAATCGCTTCAAGACAGTCCAAGGAATCGTTGGAACTGCCATAAAGAGAATCACGATAATCTCATAGAACAGGCTTCCCAGGTCGGAACGAATCACTGTAGAGGTAGTGGGTCCTCCCTTCAGCCCCGAATCATAAAAGATATCAGTGTCAGGATTGAGATTGGGAAGTAGCTCTGTCATGACCATAGCAACAGGCAGCATGGCGCGCTCTCCTGATTCCCAAATGCATTCATGACACTTGGAGCATCTGCCCCTTGACATGGCCAAGAGACCACCTAGTGATGTAGATTGTTCATATTCAATATTCTCTTCTCCCTCCAGGGCCACATTCCACTTGAAAACGGCCCCTCCACCATGATAAGCAGCTGGCTCGGAACGGTGCCTGCTGGCAAAGGCACGACAATGGGAACAGTGGCAGTTGTAGGTCAAGAACGGCTTGGTGTCAATGGCGATCGAGACAGACCCGCATCGGCACTTGCCAGATGAATGAGCAACCATTGCTTTTCAAAAACCAAGTGGAGGCAGCTCCTATTGCAGTATCCAAGCGTGAGCCAAGAATAGCAGCACCACTGGTCTTTCTATCCAGATAATGGCAGCCAGCAGCACGATGTTGTTTCTGTGTCACGGTGTGTGCCCACACAAATCTCCAGTTGAGCGGGGTTTCCCATGGCCGCTGTCGCAGCCAAACTACTGTACGCTGTACATGTACCAAGAGCCAAGAGTTTTAGACAAACAATGATGGGTGCAGCCGTGAATTCCCAAGAATTCTTTGGGGGATGCGTCTGAGATAAACACGGAAAAACTCCGGGATTTGAAATAAGTCAGCGGGAGCTGCGATACCTCGGCAGAAAGACAGATGGAAGAAGGAGGATCATGTTTGAGATTGCACCCTTCTTTCAAGGTAGCCCTGGCGACAACACCCGACTACGTCGTGTGTTGCCGCCCGGTATCATTCATTCCCTCATTGCAACCTTCTTTTTATTTTAAAAGCTAGCCCTGGCGACAACACCCGACTACGTCGTGTGTTGCCGCCTGCTTTCCCTTATTGTTACTCTAACCTTTACAGCTCCTGCTGGCTTATTGTGCTGTTGTAATGATTGCACTAACCTTAAAGATTTATTCCTACCCCTAACTTGTATTGAACCATCAATGTTCAGTTTTGTTGGCTTATGACTATCTCTATCCTTATTCGGCTTTTTTTCAGCGTTGGTCTCCTGTTTCCTCAGTTTGCTCGCTACTTGGATCCATATGACGAATAGATGCAATCCAGCCATTGTATAGCCAGCTACGGTACCGTAGGCAGAGAGTTACATCGATCCGTGACAGTGGCAACAGTACCGAACACACTCAGGTTCCGCTTTACTGGCTACACTCCGTTACCGGTACCTTGCATTGGATCTTTATGACGAATACATGCACAACCGAACATTGTCAATCCAGCCATCGTAGCCAGTTACAGTAGAGTTCATCGATCAGTGACAGTGGCAACAGTACCGAACACACTCACACTCAGGTCGCTGCACTCGGTTACCTCGCATTGGATCCCTATGACGAATACATGCACAAAACCGACTATTGTTAATCCAGCCATTGTAGTCGGCTACCGTACAGTTACATCGGCGACAGTGTCAACAGTACCGAACACACTCAGGTTCCGTTTTGCAAGCTACACTCGGTTGCCGGTATCTTGCATTGCGATAACTTTTAGGAGCGAGAGCTCTGGATCCCGTCAGAGATAGCTCCAACAGCTATGCTGGCATACAGCTCCAGCACCCGCAGCTGGCTTATCTCCAGCCAAAGCAGCAAGAAAGGATCGTCCTTTCTACCATAGTTAAGAAAATAGTACGAAAGATTGAGACCGATAATACTGATTAAGCTTGTAGCCCCTTGATACCCAGCATTGATACCAATCTGTTGAGGCGGGGCAGAAGGCAGTAGGAGATAGCAGATAGTACTGTTCCCAGCTGCACTGCCACGATTAGTATAACGAAGGCCCCCCAGCTCCTGGGAGAGAGCTGGCCCAAAGGGCCAGCAGAGAGCTTTGCTGGCCCTCCTGTCTGACTGAAGGGCCAAGTCCTTGGTTTTTTCCTACTGGAGGTGTTGGAATACTCCTGAGGCACGACAGGTCCCTGAACTGCCTGACTACCGCTGTCCCTGAGAAGGGTTTCAGCGAGCCCAGTCCACTACTTTAGTACTGGCTGAACTACTGAAACTTATTTGATTAACAGTAGCATAGATTTGCAGGCAGCTCTGTAATAGGGAAGAAGAGACCTCCTTGACGAGAAAAGGATCTCTCGAAATTACACAAAATCATGATATAGTCTACAGTTTGATTTCATTGGAAGTTGGTAGCTGATTTCAAGCCTACTTTTGAAGTCCTAAGTCAAAAACCTTCTGATCGATTTTTATAGTTCCAGCCACCACCAAAGTGACAGGAACCTTCTTGTCGACCATCTACCAATACAAATACAAGGCCAACACCATCAACATTGTCATCTAGAAAGGAATACACAAAAAAGCTCATCAACAACCGACGCCATTGACGATCGTTGCACGGAAGAGGAGGAAGCAGCCAATTCACTCAGAAAGAGGAGGACTGTCCCGTGAAAGTGCAGTGTTGAGTTCTCGAAAAAACACGAGACTTATTGATTTGCACCGCTTTGGCAACTGAACAGTCACCGCTGTTTATTACGTGGTACGCGTGTTATCATCTTTTGGACCACGGCGGCGCTTATTCTTCTACGCTTTGTCAACGATTTGACACGGAACGTTGTACATTTTACTCGAAGAAGGTTATGCGATTTTATCTTGACGGTTGCACAGGCATTATGCTCTCCATGCAAAACGCCGTGCGTTTCGAGTGTCACGGAGTTCCGTTCCAAGTTGTTACTTCAGCGATTCTCGGAAGCGCCTGGTGAACAACCCGACGATTCTCACGGATGCTCAGCAATGCAGGATCCGCTCCGGTCGCCCATTTTCGAGATAATTTATTACGATGTGCAACTGAGTCAGTACGTGAGAGTCCGTCTTCGATCGCCGGATTTGATTGAAGTGTTATTGCACCAGTTTCCGTACCGGTTTCACCAGTTTCCGTACCGGTTTCTGCGCTTAACGTTTCCAGGTTCCACGGTAGCCGAAAGCAGGCTCAGCCTCCGTAAGCTGTATCCGCGTCATATTTTAAAGGTTTTACACCTTCGAGTCATTGAAATCGCGATTTCCTTCCGTACTGAGCGATCAACCTACCGAGATGGGCGAACTCGGAGCGTCTCGAGGCAACCAAGCGATCGTTTCGAGCGACTGTGAGTGCCACCACTGCAACCGCCATCCATCAATTGGTCTGCGACTACACAACCTTCAGTATCAGAAGCTTGTGTGGGGAGATTCATTGAGCTGAATTGGCTGGCTCCACAGTGGCAAAATTCCTCGTGCAATACACGGCTCTTAGGCCTTAATTCGCGACTCGATTTCACTAGATAGGGTTTGAGTACGAATCATGACCAGAGCTGTCTCTCGTTAATCGTCATTTGAGACAGGGTTCTCACTCACCGCGCTAGGTTTCATACTAGGTTTATGTTGAAACATCGCTCTAGATATTTAACCAGCGTGGAGTACTTTCCAGCGGCTACTAGATCGAGGCTAGACAAACCTTCCACGCGTTCCGTTTTGGGATCGTGGAGGTACGTAGGATTACTACCAAAAACTACTCTATCACACTCTACTGTCTCCCTCGGGAGTTCAGATTTACGTTCCTTTGATTGTGGTTTTCTCTCGTTGATTAGTGTTTCATAGCTTTCTAATCTCTCTGATAACGTTCATTCTCTCGAACTCAAAACAATCGAAAAATCTTTACACTAACTTTTAACGTAGTGCATTTTGTTAGACAAGACACATATCTTTCAGCTCCCATCAACCTATTCCTTCACAACGAAGATGGCTCAAGGAAATCACGCGTTCCGCAACTGTCGAGAAGCAGTTGCGTGACAAACCATTCTTCCTCTCGTCGACAAGGACGAAGAACACGAGATCGACGACAATCATGCCACCACTTGCAAACTTCGCAACCATTTTGCCAAGCGCAATTCAGAAAACTCTGACAATAAGGACAACTCCTCTATCAATTTCAATCACTTGGATGGAGAATCTCTATCTGAGGATTAAGCCAGAATGATGACTCAACTGAACCATGTTCCGATTTTTCATACCAAAGTGATGAAGATATCTCACTAACTAGTAAACAAGAATTGTCTGCAACTGATGAACTCTACGGCAATTTAGATATTGCCTAGAGCTGCTCAACTAGACTCTGATGATGTATTTAGGCTGTTAACCTCGTCCGTGGCAACCACCTCGTTAAACGTCGCAGACAAGAGACCTCAAACCATCGTTTATGTTAGATTTAACAAGCGAGAAAAGGGAAACCAAAAACAGTTACACTCCGTTGCTTACTTGGGATACAGGAGCATCGGGAACTTTGATTGCTCAACATCATGCTAAGAAATTACGCATGAAGGATCCTGGGGGCGTCCAAACGATGCTGGATACCCCTGCAGGAGAATTCAAAACCAGCACGAAGTTGTAAGGGTGCATTTCTGATTCCTGAATTCCACCGGAAGATAGAATTATCGAGTTGGACTTACAGTCCTAGGCTGGGGGCGTGTATATGACATGAGCATAGGTCGAGATATTTTCTCTGACTGTTTAGGTTTCCAGTTCGATTTCACTACATGTCAGTGTGAATGGGACGGCGCATCTATACCTATGAAAGATAGCGACACCATGAAAGAGAACTTATTCATTCCTTATCCTACTGCTGTTGATGGCAGTGCAGATCGTCTCAAGAAGATTTTTGATGCGAAATTTGACACAAGCTGACTTAAGGCAGGTCTGACAAAGTCAAGATCAGTTTAACACACCGAAGAGAAGGAACAGCTTTCACTCCTTACTGACGAGGTACTCTGACCTATTCGAAGGCACTCTAGGAAAGTGGAAGATGGACAACTACGAAGTAAAACTTCTCCATGATGCTAAACACTATCATGCAAGGGCTTACCCTATTCCACTGGTCCATTACCAACACTTTTAAGATGGAGGTTGAACGTCTTTGCGAGGGGAAGTACTCAAGAAGGTTAACCGTTCCGAA